ATTAGTGTAACTGCCACTCAGTATAATCTCCAAATACATTCTGCTTAGTCACTAAGAGGAAGTACTACTGCTATCATTTGTAGACAGTGCCTAAAAGAGTGATAGATGCTTTAGAGAACAGTCGTAAACACTGAGTCTTCTTGAAGAGCAAATGGTACAAGGTGTGACAACCTGACAAGTATTATCTACATAATAAAATGTCTAAGCATGTGATAAGAGTGAAGAGCAAAGAATAATGACAATTTTGAGAGAGGTCCAAAAAGCAGTACAAATTGTTAAAACAAAAGAAAAGAGTGGTGATGAAGAATTTTAGGAGGGAGCAGAGAATGAGGTAGTAGAAAGGGACGAGGACAGACCAGGGCGGGGCAAGGGGTAGGTATCTTCCTTGACTATATATATTTATATAACTTCCACTATCATTTATTTTATACTGCATAAAGTTATTACTTTTAAACTCACCTTGAACATATTTTATTTTATAATGCATAGAAACAAAAGCAAAATGACGAGTGGTGTAGCAACAAACTGTTCTAATCAGAATTCCAAATTCAGACAAAAGGCAGTGCAAAATTAGGGAAGCATAACTAACAGTGCCTGGAGTCCTAGTTTACTATTTAGTCAAAAGCAAATCTTTTTGCCTGACCCTATAAACTTAGGAATTCCTATATGTATCTCTGTTTTCAAAAAGCAAAATCAATTCATCCCTCCAGCCCTAAAATCCAAATCCTAAATACATAATGCTTTTAACACAGTGTAAATCTGAGTTTATTATTTATAAAGCAGGATAATTATTTATAAAATAGCACAATAGCTTTGTGAGGCTGATATTTACACTGCTGTGACTCACGGCCATCCATCTACTGCTTCCTCTTTCCCAAGTGAGCCTCCTGCCCCACATCTCACTCTCTCAGAGTGCCATACAGAGCCCACACAGTCCAGCTTCCTTAAGGTTTCCTTGTCAGAGATTTTGCTTCAGTCAGTGTGGTTACCCAATTTTTACCATGTCTGTGCAATCAGTGACACAGCAACTGAGCACACACAGGCCTGTAGTCAGTTGTACCTTTCTAAAACTCACTCTGCAGTTGACAGTGGTGGCTAACAGAGAGCCACCATTCTCTAGCACACCAACGTGTTTCCACACGTCTTCTCCCCGTGGGTAAATCAGATGACAATGCCACAAACACATTTAAAAGAGGTGTTTTATAGAGACATCATGGTAAACCTGTGATGCTTTGCAAATACATGAAAAGTTGGATGATTTCATAATGAAATTTCTCTTGGAAAAATTTCATCTTCTACTGGGTCAAACTGTCCATGCCCATGAAAAGCTGAAATACGTGTCTTTTCAGAGCTGTGAGTCTGACTTTAGAAGGAGAGCATTTTATCTTTAGAATTGCTAGGCAAAGGAGCTGGAAACTCATGATACTGCAAGTAGAAAAGTGTATATGCAGATCACACAGGTTGAAACAGAAATCTTTATAAATAATGGCAGCATCCTAACATCTCTTAATTTTTTTTTCTCTGTGCATCCTCTCAATACAGTTCTTTGATATAGAAACAAAGAATAAATGAAAAGTAAAAAGGCACAAGACTGATCTCATAAATCAATCCATATGCAGGAAATGTGCTGTCTAAAATCTGTTACAAAGCTTACACACACAAAACTAGATTTTATAAGAGGAAGGATGTGCATAATGTGAAGGAAGAGTCATCATCAAAAGTTCTATGCTGCATCCAAGATACTAAAAAATCCACAAAGATAAAAGTTGAAAACATGTAAATATTCTTAAAACAGCAGAGAAATACTTACACCCAGAGTACAGACATAAATTTTCTGTCACATATTATGCATATCAAATATTATGCAAATTATACATTCAAAACCCTTGTCAAAAAGACACCTTCTTAGTACATGACATTCAAAATGCACTCCAAGTGTCCCAAAAATTTCAGAAGAGAGATAGTCAAAGCATCAGAGTTTGCCACTCATCCTTTTTAAAGCAGAAGCTCCACCACAGGAACATAGTGCACAACTGTAGCTCAGCGTATTTCACAGACCAAACCAGGCCAAAGGAGAGAGCAAATCTGGAAAGCTTCTGCTTTCCATGCCATGATGTTCCAGCAAATCCTGGCAAGAATTCATGCTGACCTGATCACTATTAGTTGCTACAGACTACAACTCAATACCATCTGCATTTCCTTTCCCCAAAAACAGTAAAACAAACATAGGGAGAAGTTATGTATCTATTTTAAATCCACACATATTTACCCCAGGGAGCGAAAGGAAAAGAATAAATAGTCCACATTACAGATATGAGTCACACTACTTAATGCTCTTTTGGAAAATGCTCAAATACCACAGTGATGGGCACAGCATAAGAGTTTGAAAGACACAAGATAGAAATAGAATTAAGAAAGGAAGTAGAGCCCAGGGACCAGCCATTCATACTGACACTCAATCACCACAAATAAAAAAAAATAAATTAGAGAGAAGACATGCTTGCTGCTTTCTTCAACATTTGAACGGTTCTTGTGCTAATATCTCTAAATGCCAACTCTTGTTTTCAGCATTTTTTTTATCCTGCTACATTTCTCCATGGAATTAAATGACACAATTTTATTGCTTAGACAGACAAAAATACCTTCCACTTCAAAAGGAGCTTGCCTTCGAGGAGAATTACACTTGAACAAAGACTGCAGGATTTAGCTCTATATTTATCTCTATGCAATAACAGCAGTTCATTCATATAAATATGGGGGGTTTCTTTCTTCTTCTTTCTCTTCTCTTGACAGAAGGAAAATATCTATCAAGAGAATTAAACTCAGTAATATCCACCTAAAGATGAAGAACAATCTCTGACATTACTTTGGTGGAGAGTTGTTCTTAATAAATCTGTAGATATTTTCAGAATAAACATGTACTTGATGGTTCAAAGAAACACTTCATTTTAAGAAAAATTAAACTGGTGAGTTATTCATCTGACACCAAACCACGTCTCAGTATCCTCTAAAATATTGTAGGCTATCTATTCAAATTCTATTGACAACAGCATTTTCCTAAGAGAGTTGCTTTAGGCTATCCCTTTTGTATAAACTTTACACCATACCATTTCCCCCACAGCTTACCCAGAACTCAAGAGGACACTTTAGTGAGACATAAAGAGAAAACTGAATGCCACACAAAGTTTATCTTTAGAGTTGCTGAAGACCTTTCTTTTGTCCATTGTCTGCTTCTGAGATTCTGAAAACTACACATGAAAACAGTTCTGTTTCATTTCTTAAGTTGGTTTTACCTTGCCATTACTTGAGAACAGTTTATTCATTTGCAAGCTTACCAGTTCAAGTTGATTCAAGTATCATACTGAAATCATACTTTATATTTGATCATAAGTATTATTGTCCACAACAAAAGTTGCCAGAAACCTTCTTTAAAACAGTAATGCTATTAATATATATTTAAACTGCAACTTGAATTCCTTGAAGACCTGCAATTTGCAACTTGAACTTCCATTTCCTTCTTTGTTAAAGATTTTTAAGAGTACAGAAATTTTAGAAAACACATTTGAATTTATTTTGATATATCACACAATTTAGTAATGTAAAGGAGTCTAAATTGTTTTAAAATAAAAGTATTACAATAGCAAACAAATTGTAGAGCAAGAGGCTAAGAGGTGGTGACAAAACAGGGTATGGCTCTTTATTTCCAGTGCTCACATTACACTAACAGGTTTAAAATGTTCACCTCAAAAAAATCCTTTTTTAACAGACTTTGAAATGTTTTTAGGAGATCACCTCGACATTGAGGAGCTGTCACATAAATGATATTTGAAGCTTTTGGTATGATGCTAACAATAATGCAATGAATCTTGGAAACAGACTTCAAAGTCAGCAACTACAGCCCAGAGGACAGCTTCCAGGTGCTGAGTGTGAAAGGCCAGCTGCAGTTAACATGCCCAAGGCACAACACTAATTTCGGTATAAAAAACCGCTTAGTGCTTCAGCTTTCTCACACTCATCAAAGTCACGTCCACGATAGCAGTAGCTTTGCTTATTTTTAAGCCATTAGAAGTCAGCGTGGTTGCTCTGCCACAGAGGGAGGACAGTTTTGTCGACTTTACTCAGTGCCACCCAGCCCGGCTAGGGAAGGACACGACCCACGCCGCGCACGGGAGCGGGACCCCCGCGCTCCACCGAGACCGGCGGCCCGCCCGGGGCTGGGGCACCGCGCACGGGGAGAGACCGCACGTCCCCGGCCCCTCTGCTCCGCGAACACCGCCCCGTGCCCAGCCGGGAGACCGCGGACAGCTCCCGGTGCTGAGCCCAGCCGAGAGACAGCGGACAGCTCCCGGTGCTGAGTCGAGTGGCCTTGGACAGCTCCCGGGGCCGGTGCCAGAGCCGGGGCCGCCCCCACGGCCGTGCCCCGCTTCCCCCGGCGCCGGGGCTCACGCTTGGAAAGAGCAGCGGGGCGGGGGCGGGCGGCAGACACGTTGTCGGGGGAAGATGGCGGCGGTGGCAAACCCACCCAGCGAAGCGGCCGGAGCCCAGGCCCCGGCGGTCCCGCTCCGCCCGCCAGGGCCGCCGCCGCCAGCGTGGAGCCCGCCGCGCCCCCGAGACGGGGCTCGGTGCCGCCGGTCCGCCCCCTCCGGCGGCGCCGACCGCCGCCCCGACCCACCCCCGTCCTGCCGGTGGCACACGCCGGGTGAGGACGGCACCTGTGCGGCCATGTTGGGCGCCTGGCCCCGCCGGCGCCGGGACGCGCGGAGCCGCAGCCGCCCCGCGGAGCGCGGCCGAGACAGGCGGAGAGCCCGGTCCCCTCTCTGCCGCTCCCGCGGGTCCCCCCCGCGCCGTGCCCCACACTCGCCCGGCGCCGAGCACCCCTGCCCGCCCCTGCCCGCCCGGCTCCTCTCTCCCGCCCCGACCGTGCCGCCCCCCGGGGCTGGGGCAGAGACTTCCGCGGCCGCGGGCCCGGGAGGACGAGGAAGGGATGCGCCCGCCCTTACTTGAGCACGGATTGCTCCTTCTCCTCTTCCTTCTTCTGGCGGTCCATGACGGCCAGGATGATCTTCCGCTCTTCCTCCGTGAGGTGGCTGAGGTCCGGCATCTCGGGCTGCGGGGCCGGAGGAGGCTGAGGAGCGGCGGGGCCGCTCCGGGGCCCGGCGGGAGCCGACATGTTTGGTGGGAGCTGCCGCCGCTACGGGAAGCGCTGCCCGAACTCCGGCAGCACCAGCGGGAGCGGCCGGCGCCGGGAGAAGCACATACAAATCAATACCCTGTAATCAACCGGCAGCCTAATGACGGCCCCGCCGGGGAGGGGCGGGGTGCCCGTCAGCCCCGACCTCGCACCCACCCGCCCGGCCGCCGGCGGCAGCGGGGGGACGGGGACGGAGGGGCCCCGGGGGGCGAGCAGGGGGAGTGGGGAGGGGAGAGGGCAGCGCCGAGAGAGGAAGGGCCGGGGGCGGGGTAGGGAGGGAGAGAGGAGAGGGCAGGATTAGCGGCGGGAGAGCTGTGGTTTGGGTGCGAGCGAGATTATCTCAGCCCCGACTGCCCGGCGGGGACAGGGGGGACGGAGCCAGCGGCGGGGGGTCAGGAGACGGGGGCAGCGGCTGCCGGGGGGGGCGAGGCGGGTGCCGTGCGAGAGCGGAGCCCCGGCGCCCCGGGGCGCGCAGCGGGGGAAGCCCCAGCGGGCGAGCGCCAGTCCCGGCCGCCGGCCACGGCTCATAATTCCTCGCCGCCGTTCATGGAAGGGGCCGCGGGGCGCCGCGCCCGCCTCCCGCCGCCGCCGCCGCCTCCCGCCGCCGCTCCTCGGCCGGGCCGCGCCGCTTCCTGCCGCCGCCTCGCTTGGCTGGTGCCCTCTCGGCTGCGGGATGGAGTCCGCCTAACCCATGGCATGGCGGAGAGCCGGAGTCACGGGAGGGGGCTCCGCATCGCCCCGCCGCCTCCCCCGCCTGAGCCGAGCGGCGCGGGGCGATGCGGGGCCCGGCTGCCGCCCCTAGCGGCGCCGCGCGGGCTGGCGGCGGGGGGCGGCGGGCGGCAGCTGCCCTTATTTATTTATTTATCCTTGCACGAAAAATGGACGCGATAAAAATCACGCGAGGAAGGACAAGGAGGAGCCAAGGCGCCGGCGACGCGCTGGGAGGACCGAGCTCGGCGGCTGCGGGGGGGCGAGGGGGAGGGCGGGGAGATACTGCGCGGCCGCCGCTCCCGCCGCCGGCGCTGCCCGCGGGGCGGGCCCAGAGCGGCACCCGCTCGGCGGGGCCCAGCCCCGAGAGCAGCCCCGGAGCGAAGGAGCCGGCGGGGGGAGCGCCGGCCCCCTCGAGGAGGAGGAGGAAGCATCGGGAAGGGCGAGGGGGAAGCGGCTCTGTAGGGCGGCAGAGCCCCCATATCCCCGTCCACTCGAAGGCCCGGCGGCGCAGTCCGAAGTTCGGGCTGAGAACTGGAGAGCAGCGCCGAGGGGAGCGGCGGGATGGGCGCAGGGCCGGCCTCCCTCCCCCGAGCCGGGAGCGGCATCGCTGTTCAGCCGTGCGGGTCCAGCCCAGCAGAGCAGCTGATCCACCATCGCCCACAAACACCCTGCTGGGGTGTCCTTCGGTGTGAAATCTGCCCCAGAGACTGTCTGGACAGATTCCTCTTACCCAGAAGAGCAAGACTGTGATACCCATGAGAGAAGTCTGGAGAAGCAAGCCCTCCTCTCATGTGGACACCAGGTAGTGGTGGAAGAAAGCTCTCAAAACTCTTTTGCTACTTCTAGTCCCCCACCTGAGCTGTCATTTTGGTGGCAAGAAATTATTTCTGGAAAAAGTATCCTACAGTACTCAAAATGCCATCCAGCCCAAATAAAAGGAAAATACCCTATCCAGGAATGCTGAAGAAACAATTCAATCCAAATCTGTGGGTTTTCAGTCTACAAGTGACAGTTCTTGCTGTTCTCTCACAAGATGTAACTCACATTAGTGTTGGTTAACATCTAAGCATATGCAGCAATAATAAAGTGGTTTTGTAAGGTTTAGTTTTAACAGTTTAAAATCGTACATTACTGCAGCTGGTGCTATTTGTAATGGATCATGACATCAACTTATAACCAGGTGCAAAGGCCTGGGGAAAAAAGTCATCTTCCTGAAACTATCATGGTCCTCATTAGTTGTATTTCCACAGAGAATAAATTCTAGGATGTAGCTCCACTAGCTAACAAGTTCCACATGTAGTATTGGGCTGAAAACCATTCTTTTGGGGAAACAAATTCTGGGGGAACAGATTGCCAGAAGGATAGAGACTGGGTGTGATAAAGCCGGTCTTAACAGTAATCCATACCTATTATCATGCACATATATTAATCGAAATTTAATTTTCTCTAAAAAATGTCATTGGCATCCTTAGCTGAAGGGACCCTGTTTCATTTCTTAATGTAAAAATATGTGTAATAGATCTTTTGTTATTATACATAAACCATTGTGAAGACATTGAGCAAATTATATAGATGTAGATATCCTTGTAAAATAAACTGTATGATTTTTCATTCAGTCCTGAAAGCATTCTGCTCTTTCGGTCCACATCACCTTCACCTTTCAGACTGGATTCCAGCCAGCTGGCTCTCACCGAATTCTTTGTTTCTTCCAGGCACTAGATAAATTTGGCATTGAAGTCAAAAAGAGAAGGAAATGTAGCACCATGTGTCATCAGATTACCAAAGATAGTACAGTCCTTATCAATCTATGAATGTTGAATGGAAGAATTAACTGCACTGACCCCTTTGGGAAACTACATTTTATCCTGAGGAAGTGGAGAAAAAGAGAAATCACTCAATCACTTCTAAGAATGATTAAAAATAACCAGACCACTTGAAAGCAATCTCTCCACCCTGTCAAGTTACACAGTTGGTTCAAAAATATTTCATGCCACGCCTCAACCATAAACACTAACAGTGTTCGGGCTGTAGTTTTGATTGCAAGACATGACTACAGTCCTATGTGCATTGCTTCATTCATCTGAATTTTTTTCCAATGGACATTTACCTCTGAACTTTCTGGATTTACAGTGACTGCTTCTGTAATAATTTCATTGTGCCTATGATTTTTCACCCACAAATCACAAATACTTGCTCTCAGCATGACTGTAGAATTTCAAGAGCTTTCTTTTCTCCTTGGTATTTGTTCTGTTTCTGCTAAATCCTGTACCAGTAAGTGAATAACTATAAACAAATAAAGCCAGGGACAGGAACTGTAATCCCTATATTATTTAGCTATTGGCTTTGAAAAGAGAGAGCAGATTCAGAGCAGATGACATCCTCAATGAAAAAATGGTTCAACACAACCTTTCTGCGCTTCTACCTTCCTTTCTCCCAATCATTTCCACCTATCATTCCTCACATTTTTCTCCAAATAAAATCAAACATCATTTGCTCATGTTCCTGTCAGCCTGCACTGAATTGTCTCATGTTGTTACTGTTATTTACATGACCCAGGTGACATATTGATGAAAACATACTCAAAGCACAGACTTCTCTACCTACTCCAGAGTAATGGTGTCAATGATAATCTACAATCAACCAACAATAAAATTACTATCGTGTAGTATGATCATTTACAAAACTGATTTTTAAGGAGCATTCATTTGCAATTACCTCATCTGTAAATTTTGACCTTCATGTTCACGTCCCCAGGTACCTGCCCTTCCTGTTCATCTCAGTTCTCATTCTAAACTCACTACCACACTCTGAAAAAGAAGATTTACAATCTTCTGCTGAAATTGTTCTTTGCTGTAAAATCTGCAAATGAAAATTCACTCCAGTTGTATATTAAAAGCACATGATACTTTATTTTGGTGGCTTCTCTAAGTCATCTAAATATACTGACACCAGCAGAGTTAATAATATAAGTTTTCTGATACCCTTTTTTCAGTCTGTTCCTTTCCAGTTCTGCTAGACATGAGGGGTTCCCAAGGAAACAGTGGCATTGTAACCTGGTTTTATATATCACCACAAAACGTCTTTCACTAAGGGTCTCATTATACTTACTCCCATTTCCTTCCTCATAGCAACTACAAGAGCAAATGAGTTGGTAGATTCAAGCATAATTTAAGCATAATCCTTTCCTGAAAAGGAAATGCTAACATCTGCTTTATTATGTTTTGTATAAGGGAGAAATCCAGTGTAACTAATTATTTATGTTATTTTTGTCACAAGTTGAAACTTGGAAAACATCTTTATGTAGCTGACATGAAAGGAACTTTAAAGTATTCCATTATAGATCAGTGAGTGGAGGAAACTAAAAACATATTTTTGGTTGAAAATGTCCAGTACTCAGACTCTCAATCAAATCAGATGTATAACCAGCAAGAAATGTATCCTATAGGGCACTTCCTGTGAGCAGTTTGCAAGGAGCTCTTCAAATTCCCATTGAGGAAGGACAAAACTACACTGTAGGAATTTGTGATTCCCAGGTACCATCAAACCATCATGGACTGGTTTTCTGGTGCAGCCTTGGATCTGTCCCAGCTTTCTCCTGTCTAACATGAGGAAGCTAGTTATATTGTATAATGTCACCTACATTGCCATTTGGTTTCTTTCATGAAGATTTTGCTTACTATGTATGCTTTTTTTTTTTCTGCTCCAAGTAAATTTCTATTAGTTGGATACTTGCCCACAAGTGATTTGAAGAATGCTAGATATTTATTGGTAGAGGTTAGTTTTCTTCATTTGTTACTCTCATTTCCCATAATAAAGGGTTATCCATAGTATACACAGTATTGACCATAATACTATGTCAGCTTTACTCAATGAAATAGCCCCTCCCAATTTCACTGTCAATGATCTGTCTGCAGTAGACAGAAAAATATGGGTCTCTCGGCTAGAGCCCCCACTTTTTCCTCCTCTCCATGCATATGATCAATATCTTCACATGGTCAGAAGAAGGGGAAAGTTCTTAAATTGTTCTGAAGAGTGTAATTTAATCCTTACCCACTTCCAAACCCTTTTCTGGCTCAGGAAGTACCATTAACAAAAGCCTTTTGGATTAGAAGACTGAGGGCTCACCATGGGTATCATGGTAGCTGCTGAGGGTACGGAGGATGTTCAACCTTATTCCTAAATCAGCTTGGGTGGCAAGAGATTGATTTGCCTTCTTTCAGGGGACCAAGGAGCTGGTATCCAGGTTGTATTTTGAAATACAATATGGGAAAGTCCCTGGCACGTAGGTTTTCTGTAAGCTGAAAACTGAGGAAAAGCTCAGATCAGTTAGATTGTTTTCCAGTTCAAGGCTGAGAGAGTTGGGCTTATTCAGCCTGAAGAAGAGAAGGCTCTGGGAGACCTTACCATGACCTTTCAGTACCAAAAGGGGATCTGTAAGAAAGATGGAGATAGGTGTTTTAGTAGGTCCTGTTGCAGTGGGACAAGGGGTAATGGTTTTAAGCTGAAGGAGGGTAGACTAAATAGAAGGAAGATGTTTTATTTAT